CTCCAGCCCCTTTTTATTTTTATTTTACACCAAGGCCTCACTAAGGCCCAGGTAAAATTTGAACTTGTGATCCTCCTGCCTCAGCCTTCCAAACAGCTGGGATTACAGGCATGTGCCACCCACCATGACCAGCCTGTGCTTGGTGTTTTGAGCTCCTCCAGGCATGTGGGCAGAGCCAATGTGAAATAGGATGGTCCAAAGCCTATTTCTCCCCGACTCTCTAGGAAGGCTCTGGCCTTCAGGAGGCAGGAAAACAGGCAAAAGAGGGGAAGCCAGAAGCCAGAGAAGTCATGGCTAAGGAAAAATATCATAAAAAGGCCATGGGGAGCAAGGCACGGTAGCACATGGCTGAAACCCCAGGACTCAGAAGCTGAGGCAGTAGGACTGCAAATTTGAGCACATCCTGGGCAATTTCATGACTTAGAAAAACCCTGAGTCAAAGTAAAAAGTGGCTGGGGATGTAGCCTGTGTGAATGCCCTGAGTTCAATCCCCAGTATTGCAGAGAAAAAAAAATGAGAAGTTGATCCAGTATGGACTGCAGGGCAGACAAGTGGCCAGTCACCCATGAGCTGAGCCAGGCCCTGGAAAACAGCCAGCTGCTTACAAAGCACTGGCTTTGGGGCCCACATTTCCATCCCCCTGTGCCCAGAACTCAGCAGCCTATGGTTTGTCAGGGCCTTTGGGACACAGCCTAGAGCAACACCTCTCCTGAATGTCCTTGCTCTCAGGAGCTGGTCGCAATTGTCCCAGAGGCCAAGAAGGACAGGAGGAGGCCCTGACGGACCATGCATGTGAGCCACGTCAGGTGTCCACACCAGGACACAAGCATCCACACCAGGACAGTTGGTAATGAAGAGCCCCAGGAATATGGTGCAGCTTGCCCGCACTCCTGAAGCTCAGAAACTGGTGGGCAGGTGCAAGGGGGCAGAGACATTGGAGCTATGGTCTCCTCTGCCTGGCGCTGCAGCAACAACCTGGAATCTACATTGCTTATGACTTTCCTATGCCTAGGGAAGGTCCAGAGAGCCTCTGGCCAAAGGCAGGTGATTCATATAACCTCTCTGGGGCTGCCGGTGCCTGGGTGCCTGACAGGTAGTGTCACCCAACAAGGAGCTTCCACACTGCTGGGGTCTCCAGTCAGTGTGGCCCCTAAAGGTAGAGGCCTTCTGTGCCCACCTACAGAGGCTGCAGATGGACCCACCTAGCATAGAAGCTGTGCCCAGGTCCAGCCCCAGGCCCAGATGAAGCCCTGGCCTTGACTTCAACTTGTGCTACTTACAGCTGTCTCAAGGCTTCCATCCATTGTTAGTTTCCTGGAGACACTGCTCATGAGACTCCAGAGCCCTTCTCTTCATCCGCTCTGGGATCCAAGTTCCCCCAACTCCTCTCTTGGTCTCTGGTACTTTATTCACTCAACAAATATTCACATGATATTTGTTGATCACATGCCACAGGTTGTTCCAGATGCCAGGAACCATCCCAGGTATACTACAAAGAAAAAAGAAGATAACATTTGTCTAAGAGTAAAAAGCAGGGATTCTAGCCAGACATGGTGGCACATGCCAGTAATCCCAGCCCTTGGGAGGCTGAGGCAGGAGGACTGCCATGAGTTTGAGGCCAGTCTGGGCTACATAAGCAAGTTCAAGGCCAGCTTGGGCTACATAATGAGACCTTGCCTGTCTGGCAAGTAGAGGGTCTTGAGTTCAATCCCTAGCACCAGAAAACAGAATAAAAACAAAAAAGAATAACAACAACAATAAAAAGAGCAGAGGTTTGGAAGTTTCTTGGGGCTATAGTTCAGTTCAAATCCTGACTCTACTGCCTCCCAACTGTGTGACCACAGCATGTTATATAATGTCTCTCTGAACCTCAGCTATAAAGTGGGCTTAAGAAGAGTATCTCTCCATCCGATCTGGGTAAGGATTCAATGCCTTAATGTAAAAGAGCACTTGGCCCTAATGTAATAGTAAATGTATTATATGTGGTGGCAATTTATTAGTGTACTGGAAGGTGCAGAAAATTAATAGCAAAACCATAAAATAAGTGCAGATTATAGCTAGTGCTTTGAAGGAAATAGGCAGCGTGCCATGGGAGACATTAGTGACAGCGGAGGGGCTTTTCAAGGTGGAGGAGTCTGAAGGGTCTCTCTGAAGAAGGGGCTTCTGCTTAGAAACCAGAAGACACAGTCTTGGTGACAGCAGAGGACACACTTTCCAAGTAGAGGAACCAGTGAGCATGAGTCTCTGAGGTGGAAAAAGGCTTGGCAGGTATCAGGAACACCAGAAGGCATGGGAGGTGGGAGCTGGGTGGGTGAGGGGAACGGGCATGTGAAAGCCCAGAGAGGCCAGCAGGGCCAGAGCACAGACCTCACAGGACCTGTGGGCACAGGCGAGCTTGGCTTCTATTTCCAGTGCAGCCCACAGCCACACAAGGTGTTTTCGTAAGTTGTACTGAAGCATGTCACACATGCAGGAAAGCACACAGATACCAAGTGTGCCATAGCATAAATTTTTACAATATGGACATACCTGGGAGACCAAGCCAGGGTAGGAGCAGTGCCCCAGAATCTCCTCTTAGTCTACTTGCTGTTGGAGGCTGTTGCCAGGGATGGTGGCACATACCTATAGTCCCAGCTCCTCAGGAAACAGACAGAAGGATTGCAAATTCAAGGTCAGCCTGGGCAATTTAGCAAGATTCTAGATCAAAATGAACATTTTTTGAAAAGGGCTGGGGCTATAGCTCAGTAGTGGAGTACTTGCCTAGCATTATGAGGTCCTGGCATCAATTTCCAGTACCCTCATAATTTTATTTCAAAAGACATACTTAGCTGACTGTTTTAGAGGCTAAAAGATTAAGACTGGGGGTCCTCATTGATTCAGGCTTCAACCCTTGGCTGCCCTCTTGACAGATGGCATCATAGTGGGAGACAGAGCAATCACATGGCAAGAGACAAAGCCAGAGAGACCAAGGAAGGCCAAGTCTTACTCTTTTATGAGCTCTGTGCTGTGCTGTGTGTGTGTTTGCGTGTGTGTGTGTTTGTGTGTGCGTGTGTGTGCGTGCACACACACATGCATGCAGGCATACTCTTCAACTTGAACCTAGGGACTTACAATTAAGCTACATCCTCAGTCCTTTTTTTTTGGGGGGGGGGCTGGTGGTGGGGGTACACTTAAGACAGATTCTGGCCACGTAGTTCAGATGGCTTTGGACTCACTAGGTTGTCCAGGCTGGCCTCAAACTTGCAGCAATCCTCCCGTCCCAGCTTGTTGAGTGCTGGGATTACAATCTTGTACCACCACTCCTGGGTCCCAGCTCTCTTTTTTATTTTTACTTTGTTTAAAACATTAAATTGCCCACTCCTGGCTTGAACTTGAAATCTTTCTGCCTCAGCTCCCAGCTCACTGAAGGATCTTAAACATGAAACTAAGAAGATTTCAGTTCAAGATCACTAGAGTACCTGTACCATCAGCCTCTGCAAGGTTTGTGCCAGAACTGGACTGACCTCAACTTTACCTTGTGCTTTTCCAAAAGAAGTCCTTATCATAGTCTCCCCTTTTATGCAAATAGTCTGTCCAGTTCCTCACTCCCTCCCAAGGAAAGAACCTAATTTTTCTGCAGACCTTGATCTTGCCCTTGTAGAATGGGCTCAGTCACTTCAAAGGGGCAGGTAGCTATTAAGGTTAACATAAATGGTAAAAGGCAGTGAAAGCCCATGACCCAGTAGAGATCCTTCTCCCTGAACGGCCTCTCCCCACCACCACCTTTGCCCTGCCTCTCCCCACATCGTAACCTCTCCCCTTTCCTCCTCCCCACCTTTTGGAACTGAAAGAGAAAAAAAAGGTGAGCGCCCCCTATGGATGAGGGTGAAGCTGCAGCCCTCCCTCTGGCAAGGTTCCCTAGTGTCCCGCCTTTGGGGCAAGGAGTCCCTCTCCCCACGGCCAGCCCGCATCTAACCTCTGCTGGTACATCAGTGCCCACGAGCTTCTCTCGGCTCCAAAGGCCTAGCATGTAGATAATCCAGGATGCGCTGCTGCCTTCCCACACTGGCTCCACTTCTAGATCCTCACCTCCTTTACCACCAGACCCCCAGTTCTCCTGAAGACCTTACCAGGTGCCAACTAGGCTGCTCGCCTGGTCACTGTCCCTGTAACACGTAGCGCCTTCCCCCGCACCCTCAGCTCCTCCCAATGTGTGCCGGGCCTCCTCGCCAGACTGCGAGGAGGGACCTGTCCCCTGTTCCCGGAAGATGGAAGAACACCCACACCTGGCCCTGAGCCAAGCAGCGCCTGGCGGGGGCGTCATAAATATCTCCTGAATGATTCATTCATTCCTTTGGGAGAGAAAGCTCGACCTTTAAGAGGTTAAAAGGAGAAACTTTTAAGTCACACAGTCTGGGACTCATGTTTAGCCTTTGACCTTTGGAACTTTGACCTCAGTACCCTCTTGGTTTGTTTCCTCCTGTAAAAATTGAAATGGTCATGACCCAACTATGGTAGTTTGAGCATATTGTGAGCTGATGTTAGGAGCACCAATCTGGCCCACTTCAACAGCTTAATGATGGGAGGGGATTAATTCAGAGCAGGAAAGATCCGCCATCCACCCAGCTGCCTGCGCATTTGTGTTCTTGGAGATGAACAGAATCATATTGGGCCCATTTTACAGATAAAGAAACTGAGACCTAAAAGGAAACAAAATAATCTGGAGCTCAGCATGATGGGTCTAAAAACCAGGCCTGAGGACTCTGAACCCAGTGTTTGGCAAGCACCTGAGCACATCACCACTTCGTCCCATCTCGTCCTGGCATCTGGGAATGATGGGCTGGATTTGGCCTCCCGGGCCTCGTGAGTCTCCCTTGTGCGTTTGCGGATCTCTGGGTCACTCCCGGCAGTGCCGCTCCCTTCATGGTAGTGGAGAGCGCTCGGGATTGTCACTTTAAATTAAAGAGGGAGAGGGCGGGCTAGCGGGGGAGCGCGCGGCGGGCTCCTGGGAGCGTGCCCGGACTGCGGCGCAGCTCCTGTCCGCCGCCCCGGCCCGGCGGAGCCCCCGACCCGCACCGCGCTCTTACGCCGAGGCGGGCGCCCGGTGATACTGCAGGGGTGGCGCTGCCGGCGCTGGCCGGTTAGGCGCCTGTGCGTGCGCGCTACGGGAGGCAAGCAGGGATCCGAGAGCCCGAGTGTGAGCCCGAGTCGGAGCGGCGGCCCCTTGGCAAGCCCGGGTGAGTACGCACCGGGCCGACCCCGGCGCACGGCGGGGATACGCACTCTGCTGAGACAGACACACACGTCCCCCTCCTCGGGCAGACCCGGGGCCCGCACCCTCCGCGCGTCTGCACCTCGGCCGCGCTTGCACACCAGCGCCCAGGCATAGCGCACGCCGGGCGCCCTTGTCCGGCCCAACCACTCCGCGCACTGCGCATCGCCTCGCTCCTGCCCGCCCGCATGTGCACACACGCGGCTCGCCCCGCTGTTTACACGCCTCCCCTGAGCCCGCACGGCACGCACACCCCTCACTTTCACACTCAGCGCTCTGACCGTCCTCACTACCCTTGCTCGGGCTTCATAACCTCTAGGTCTAGGGGCTCCCGAGTCAGACCCCCCACTCCTGTCCCTAAAAAGGAAAGGGAGATTCCTCAGACCAAAATGCCTGGTGTGCAGGGATTGTTACGCTCTGTCAGGCACGTAGCACCTCATCCCCAAGAGGACCTGGGCTATGTGAGGAGCCAAAGAGGACCCTCAACCTCCTGAAGGTTGCACTTTTGGACGGAATATGAGGACTGGGAGCAAGGCCTGAGGGTGGAGGGGCCCTGAGCCAACCATTCCTAGCAAGCCCTGTGCTGCAGAGCAACTGTGCGCCCCCTCCTCAGTCAGCGAGTCCATCTTCACGTAGAGCCTGGGAAAGCTGTATACTACAGCCTCTTCAAGTGAGCAGGTTTGGAGAGTGACAGCAGTAGTACTTCCAATTAGAAGAGGGAAGACTAAAGCCCTGGAAGGGCAGGAGACCCACCTAAGTTAACAAAAAAGTCAGGATGAGTATTCATACCCCCTGCCTCCCCACTTGGAAATAGAAAACCTTTTCAGAGCACTCAGGATTATGGGGGTTCCCAGCCTGGGGTCTCAGCCTGGACTCTGTCCCTACAGCTCCCTGTGACTATGGCAAACCCATTTCCTGGGCCAGGGTCTTCTTAGCAGTACAAGGTCCCAGAGTAGCAGCTCCTCAAAGACCTGCAGGGAGAATGCACAGAGGTACAGTGCCTGGCACACAGTAGGTGCTCAATGCCAACCACCAACAAGCCCCAGCCATCTGTACTGTGGTTTCTGTGGGCTGTTTGGAGGATAGTGCCAGGGTGTAGTTATCTTCAAAGTGTTGAGTAAGGGAGGCACTCCTAAAAGGTCTTGCAGGCTGAAGACTGAGACTTCCCTGTATCCCCTACCTTGGCCCCAGACCTTCCCATTACCTGCTGACCTCAGGATGGGGGTAGGGGTGCCAACCTCTTCCTGGCCAGAGACATCTGAGGAAACTCAGCAGAGAGAGGGCATGGAGTGGGGATGCTCTTCCTCTGACAAGGTACAGAATTCCTGGAAAGCTGTTTTTCTGACAAGCCTAGCAGGGGGCCTCCACCTTGGTCAGATTCCAACAAAGCCAGGTAGGGTGTGCCCTCCCCTTGCATCACCACCCCAAACCTGATCAGGAGTCAGCATGGTGGCCTAGAGCCCAGGCCCAGATCCATCCCTCCCTGGCACAGAGCCCAGTGTTGCCGTTTATAAGCCAAGAACCCCAAGGCTCCAGCTTCCTCATCTGTAGAATGGGATCCAATAATCCATGCAGTCTCCAGGTCTTCAGTGAGTGCTTACATTGGACCAGGTATGGTACTAAGCACTTAGCACATACTGTATGAAAACAGCAGTGGGAGGTTTTGCTAGATATGTACTATTGAGCTGGAATTTGGGGAGTTGTTGCCAATGTGCAAGCTACATGCAGTGTAGGCCAAGGACTGAAGGTAGGTTGGATACAGTGGGGGCACTGAAGGAGGGGAAGGTACAGTCTTAGCTCAACTCCGATGCCTGTGCTCTCTGTGCATTCCTGTGTATCACTGGCTGCCCTGGCCTCCAATACGCCTTGTCAGCATCCTGTCCTAGCTGAAGACACAGCCTGAAAGACCTCTAAGACACCAGCAGGAGCCCAGAGAGATTGCCTGGGGTGAGTGGAGCCAGAGGGACTCAGGGAGAGTGAGGAAAGCCACTAAAGGCATTTGCTGCAGGGCCAGACCTACTCCTCACTCAGCTCCTCACTCATCCTCTGGGTGACCTTGGGCCAACTCCCTGTCCTTCTCTGAGCCTTCCTTTTCTCCTCCATAGAGTACAGATACTAATGTATTTGCCCCAGAGGGGTCTGGGGAGTGGTGATGGTAATGATGCATGTGAAGTCCTTGGCTTGGAGCTTTTGTTGTCACTGAAGAGAAGTGCTGGGTGCTATGGCAGGTGCCACTGCCACTGGCTGTGGGCAAATCATTTAACCTCTCTAAAACTCTCCTCCCAAGCCCACCTCCAGCTCAGGAGCAGAGATGCTTCCAAGAACCAGTGGGTTATGAGAATGAATGAAGGATAGGAGCGACCAGGTGTGAGCCCAAGAACAAAAATGTCCCTGCTTCATTATCCTGGAGGAAAAGGCAGAGCCTGCTTTTAGCCTCAGTGTTACTATTGTTGGGAAAAAGGGTACAGACCCACTCTCCCCAGATTTTAACTTTTCAAAGGAAGCTGGAAATCTTTTTATCTTGGGGAAAGGCTATTGAGACAAAGATCTCACTGCGTAACCCAGGCTAGCCTTGAACTTGCAATCCTCCTGCCTCAGCCTCACAAATTTGAGGGTAGGGTGTGTGTGTGTGTGTGTGTGTTGTTGTTGTTGTTGTTGTTGTTGTTGTTGTTGTTGTTGTTGTTGTTGTTTTGCAGCGCTGGAGATCAAACCTAGAGCCTCACACATCCTAGACGAACGTTCCATCACTGAACTACAGCACCAGGCTTCTTATTAGCAAATAAAACACACTCACTGGCTTACAGAGCACTCTACATGTTTGCATTGCTTCCGGGCCTTTCTAGACCATGGTCAGGCCAATAACCACAGCAGCTATTTGCCAAGCCATATCATACTCTCTTTCTCATTCCACAGTCCTTGCACCCTCCCAGGACAATCCTGAGCCCTTTTCACAGATGGCACAACTGAAACTCAGGGGGACTAAACAATTGCCTGAGGCTACATGAGTCAGGAGGGGGACAGATCTGGGGTTCCAAGCTGGGGCAGCTGACCGTACACCCTGGGTGCAAGCTGACATCCTGCAGGAGCCTCCACCTCTGCTAGCCTTGTCCCTCCATGCATTCAGATGTGTCCTGGCTCCTAACCCTTTACAGTAGACTATAGAGAAAACTTCTGTGCCTAGCACACAGTCACACCTTCCCCAAGCACAGCTCTCAGAGGAGGGGTGCTGTGATGACAGTGTTTGGGATTCTGGGGAGTGGGGACCCCTGAGAACCAGAGATGTGATACAGCCTGAGGTTCTACCCTGTAGCACACATGCTGTACGTGGCAAGGGTGTGTGTGGTGGGGGGGTGCCTTGCCACATGTCCCTTGCTAGCACGCTGCTGGCATTGGCTGTCTCAGCTTGGCCTCTCTTGCCAAGCCAGTTCGTGCTTGATAAGCAGGAAAGAATGCTGATGGCATTACTGGATTTTCAGCAAGGCAGAGGCAATTTGGAGTGGGTTCATGATGTGTTTCAGTGTGTCTAGACTCCAGCCACCAGAGGATAGGGCCATTTTGGGCTTACACCCAGTGACCCACTTGACCTGCAATTCTTACACAATGTTTCCAAAAACATATGCCCACCTTTGGTTAAAAAAAAAAAAAAAAAGTGGTTAGGAGCTTGGAGCCAGATGATCTGGGTTGAATGGTTATCAACCTTGTGGCCTGGGGTAAATTACTTTAACTTCTTACTACACTTTCATCTACAAACCAGATGTATTAATAGTGCCAACCTCAAAACAGTGTTATGAGGGTTAAATGATTTCATATATGTGCAAAGTCCTTACAACCAAGCTTAGTGTATAAGAAGTGCCTGGACTCTTATCTCAAGGGCTATTATTATCGCAAGCCTAGGGTCTAAGGATGCACATCCACTTAAGTAAAGATGAGTGAGGCATCCTGATTGCCTGCCTGCCATCACTATAGCAACCTTCATCTCATCTTGGGAGGGGGCAACATCAGGAGAGCAGGATCCAGGAGCTGTCTGTGTACCCCTATCTATCTGCTGTAGAGCTTAATGGCACTTCAGTATGCATAGGATACTAAGCACCCCAATTTCTTGACTCCAAAACCATAGACTGGGGAGAACCCTAGAATTCCTAAAAATTCCCAGTGTCTCAGCTTTGCCCTTCAGCTAATCCCAAACAGAGCCTATAGAATAATTAGGAAATGGTGAGGCACAGCCTGTCAGCCTTTTACAATGCACCTGAACAGTGTGAATATTTTTGTGAGTTGGTTGCAACATGTAAAAACCAAGAAGCCCAGCCAGGTAATGCATGCCCATAGTCCCCAGCTACTCAGGAAGCTAAGGCAGGAAGATGATTTGAGCCCAGGAGTTCAAGACCAGGGCAACATAGTGAGATCCTATCTCAAAATAAATAAATGAAAATGTAAAAGAAATAAAATAAAAATTAGAAAAGCCCATATTTAAAAATACAGATGCCAGGGATAATCTGGGGCAATCTGCAGTTGGGTACCAGTCTGTGCCCTCAGAGCGCCTCATTGCCATGCCTCGGAAAATTGAGGAAATCAAGGATTTTCTGCTCACAGTGAGGTGGAAGGATGCCAAGTCTGTAAGATAAAGAAGAACAAAGACAATGTGAAGTTTAAAGTTCGATGCAGCAGATACCTTTATACCTTGGTCATCACAGACAAAGAAAAGGCAGAGAAGCTGAAGCAGTCATTGCCCCTGGGCTTGGCCGTAAAGGAGCTGAAATGAACCAGCCAGACTGATGTGAAGTATATTAAAAAAAACTTCAAAACTAAAAAAAAAAAAACAAGTGCCGAACTGGGGAAATAGCTCGGTGGCATAAGTGCCTGCCTTACAAGCACAAGGTTCTGAGTTTGATCCCCAGTATTATATGCCCTGCTGGCCCTGGAACGCTGGGCCCACCATGTTGAAAATCCCAGCACTAGGAAGGGTGAGACAGAACAATCACTATGAGCCCAAACTGCACAGCAAGACCCTATATCAAAACAATAAAAAATAAAATAAAAATACAAGTGTCTGGATGTGGTGGTACATGCCTATAATCCCAACACTGACCCCTCACTCCTGAAATCCCAGGCTGAGGCAGGAGGATCCACAGGTTTGAGCCCTACTCTAGGCAACTTAAAAAGAACCTGTCTAAAAATCAGAAATTGAAGATCTGGTGATGTAGCTCACAACAGATACCCTGAGTTCAATCCCCACTACCACCAAAATTAAAAACAAACAAACAAACACACAAATCCATGTAATAAATCTGGCTTTTCTTTCATGAGCCAGAAGATCAGCTATGTTGAACTGGCATTTTCACTGGACTGAGAAAGTGGCCACCCTAGGGCCAACCAAGCACTCTACAGTACTTAAACACTTTTCTTTACTGCCTGGATCTGTGGGCCTTTGGGGTATAGGCACCTTTGAACTGCAAAGGAACCCAGAGTTTAGGGTGTGAGTATTCTGGCCTGCTGTGCCCCTGAGCACACATCTCAATTTATAAAGCTCATCCTTGTCTCCTTTTTCCAGAACTCTCCCCACCTACCCACCTGGAGCTCATCTTTGAGCCAGACTGACTTCTTAGCAACAGTACAGTAATAATAAAACAGTAAGCACTCATGGGGGCTTAGGTAATAGCTTGTATGAGCTTCCAGACCTTTCCAAAAGAACCTAGTTAGATCTCAGTGGTTCATAAAACCTGGGAGTGGAAGGTGGTGTGGGAAGAAATCATCCCAAGCAGGCAAAGGACTGAGAATAGAACAGTGGGGAACTGTGGTCTTTCCTTTGTAATTTAAATGGAAGAACTGGTCGTGCAGCCTGGGAACATGCCAGTGAGCCTGCACTAAGGGGCAGGAAGAGTCGCTGCTCATCACCCTGCTGATGTTAGGATGGAGATGAGGCAGGGTTGCCAGATTTAGCAAAATATAGGACAAATACAGGACACCCACTAACATTGGAGTTTTACTTAAACAATGGGTACCTTTTTTTTTTTAGCATAAATATGTTCCATGCAGCACTAGGCCCTGAATTCAATCCCCACTACCACCCCCCCTTCCCAAAAAAGTCCCATGCAGTATTTGGGACATACCAATTCTAAAAGCTAATCTGGGACATCATGGTGGCATCCATCTGTAGTCCTAGCTATTCAGGAGGCTGAGACAGGAGGACAATTCCAGCCCAGGAATTCAAAACTAACTTGAGCGAGAGAATGAAACACATCTTAAAATAATGAATTAATTTCATTAAAGCCAATCTAAACATCTAGTGCCCCTGGGTATCCTGGTAGGTTGGTTTGTCTTTTGCTCAGCTCTGGGCATGGAACGCAGAGCCTTGCACGTGTCATGAAGTCATCCTGCTGTTGAGCCACCTCCTCAGTTCCAACACCCTGTGCTTTAGCAGGCAACCCTGAAATGTGGTGTTAAAGTGCTTGGCAAGAGGCTTGAATACCATCTTCTAAATGTCATTTTTTGGAAACACTCCACCTTCAGCCAAGCTCCCCTTGCAGCTGAGTGTGAGCTCCAAGGGACAAGCATGCAACATGGGCAGGGCTGGTGACCCTTTGCAGCCCTCGCCACTGACATTCTTTTCTCTTTCCATCCTAGCCATTGCAGAAGGCACCATGGCCGTGGATGTGGCAGAATACCACCTGAGCGGTGAGTGCCGGAGCAGGCCCCTCCAGGGCCACACCTTCGGGCCGTCAGGGACCCTCCCACCAGTCCCAGGTGGGAGGTGTTGGTGAGACCTGAGCAAGAGCCTTGTTTTACAGGTCAGAACAGTCAGTAACTTACCCAAGGTCACACGGTCATGGGGATACCCTGCAGCATGCAGGGGACCTATGTGAGATTTCCTCACTTTTCTATCCCAGCGAATTCTTCCTGAAGAAGCAGTTCCCTCCATCTCCAGGGCATCCCCGAGAAGGTGAATGCTACACACAGGGACAAGCAATTCAGGGATCACCCAGCTCAGGTGTGGGGAATGTCCGGGATACACATTTCCCCTGTGCCTGTGTCTGGTGCCAACCTCTAGGATGAGATGGCCTGCAATCTCCAAACACAATCCCTCAGCCTTGCCAGCTGGTGGTGGCCGGTGTCACCTAATGCTCCCTTCCATGTTTACAGGTAGGAAAAGTGAGCCTCAGCAAGGAAGGGGACAATAATACCAAGTGAAGACTCTATCTCAGGTCTCCCTCTTCCCAGGCCAACATAGCCCATCACACCAGCTGCTAACCTAACTCAGGCCTGCACAGGCAGAGCTGCAGGAAGTACCAAGATCACCTTTCCCAGCCCCTAGCCAGCAATCCTTCCTTTCCACCTGCAGCTCACAGGTCTTTCCAATGACCTTGATGTGATAAAGCCATCCTAAGCCTCCACTTATTCATCTGTAAAATGGGATCAGGGCTACAGGACAATTCCTGACTGGCCCAGTGGCAACATAACTCTCCCTGGGCCTAGTATTCTCTTCACCTCTTCCTCGCTAAGCCCTCAGGTCTGGGGAGGAGATTACCAGTGAGCGCAGAACAGGAGGGGGACAGTCACAGCAATTCACTCCCTGGGTATCCCGGTAGGTTGGATACCCAGGATATGCAACCTACCTCTGCCCCTCAGCTTCCTCATCTCAAAAGTGGGGATAAAAATAGAACTGACCTGGCAGGGTCATTTCGAGGACTTAATGGGTCGATTTGTGTGAAGACCTTAAGCAGGACACAGCAAATAATAATAGTAATTGCTTCTAAGGGGGAGCTGTTATTAGTCCTCTTACTCCTCCTCTTTCTCCCCTTCATTTCTGGTCCGAGCTTAGACTTCACCTCCTTTGGGAATTCTTCCCATATTGCCCTTAGTCTGATACTTCAGTCAATACATGAATATCCATTGTCATTTCCTGTCACCCTCCTGGAGCTTTTGCTTTTCTGCCCCAGCCCGGCTACTCTATTCTGCTAAGCAAGGCTTGGGCCTCGATTCCCTAGCACTTAACTCCTCCAAGGCAGGGAAGCCTGGCTCTGCTTTGCCTACCATTGGATGGGCCTTGGCCTCTAGCCATGCCCTGCTGCCATCCACCAATGGGGTCCCTCTTGGGCAGTGTCCATGTTGCTGTCCAGCCTACCAGGTGTTGTCCTATCCCCTCCTCCTCCACCAGACACCAAGACCATTTGAGAGCTTTGTCGTGCCTGGCCCTAAGGCCCTCTGTGGATCTTTTGCTTGTGGTTTTATCTAGCCCACGAGCCACATTCTGTCCCCAGGAGCAGTGAGGATTCATCAGTTTGCTCACAGTCCCCTCCACCCTATTACCTAATCAGCCCACTTTCCTCCGTCTGCCCAGCCCTTGTCCATTTGCTGTGATTTTTACATCAAAATCATGTAGCTGTATCATGTTAGGGACTGATTTTTTTTTTTTTTTTTTATTCTTAATGACACTGGGTAGCTGGAAATGTTTCTCTGCATTACCGCGGAACCATCCCAGTGACTTCAATTGTCATTCTTGAAGGCCAGTGACATTCTCTCCCACTGACAACACAGCACCATCAACTCCCATCAGCCCCCTTGGTAGGACCTTCAGGCTGTTTCCAGATTTCTTCTGTTATAAATACAGCCTTGATGACTCATACCACACATAAAATTGTTGAGATTTTTCCCCTCAGAATATGTTAGTAGGAAGCCAGGCATGGTAGCATGTACCTGTAATCCCAGCACTTTGGGAGGCTGAGGCAGGAAGATGACAAATTTGTACCCAGCTTGGGCAATTTAGTAATTCAGTGAGACCCTCTCTCAAAAATAAAATAAAATAAATAAAGGAGCTGGGAGTGTAGCTCAATCCAAAGGCCATGGGTTTAATCCATAATGCAAAGTAAAATAAAATAACCAACTCATCAGGGTGGGGTCACCCTGGTGGGGGATATTTTTGTCATCATCTTCATTTTCCAGATGAAGAGACTGAGGTCCAAAGAGGCAGGTGACTCGCCTGAAACCCAAGGTCCCTGCATGCCCCACTGTACAATTCCTGCCTGTATGGGCTCTGGTGCAATGGGGACAAGGAGCCACTCCAGCCCCTGGTGCTCTCACTACCCATACCCGTTGGGCATTCAGCTCACTCTGGGATCTTTTGCCTTCTCTGTTCGTTCTGTCTGCCTCTAACTCCCAGCCCCTGCTACCTTGCCTGACAACACTTTTGCCCCTTAAATCTCACATGTTTCTCCTCCTGGAAGCCTTCCTGGGCTACTCCCGGGACAGTTCCTAGCAGCATGCTTTGTATATTTATTTGTGCCTGTCCCCAGGTCCTTAGAAAATGAGCTACTGAAAGACAGGCGCTGGGCCCAGGGCTGACTTGCCTAGCACTGGCTCCCTCTGCCCATAGGGTGCTGGCACATAGTAGGTACTCAGTGGATGTTCAGTAGAAGGTCTCCACCCCCAAGATGCCCCTCCACTTTTCTCCACCTTGCTGCTAGGGAAACACACCAAGTCAGTGTTGGGTGGGGTACTAGTTATCCCTGCTTTCTCTGGAGCCTGGATGCCAGCCTTTCTGTGCCTCAGTTTCCCCATCTGAGTATATGAGTATGGAGACAATGCTAGGAACTGTATTTGCCTCTCATATGGCCTTTTGCCAAATGAATCTCAGCATAGCATGGCTCCTTTTAGAAAGCAGGGCCAGGCTTCCTACAGAGAGAGGCTAACCACCAGACCATGTACGCTCTCTCCAAACCCAGCAGAGAAAAGAAATTTCTATATTTGGGTACAAGGAAGTGCAGACAGGGAAAGCTATGCACTTAGAAGTGCAGAAAAGCAACTAAGTGTCTGGTTTTGTCCGCAAGTCCGGCACAGCCTGTAGACACCTCTTACTTTAGTTGGGTTGATGTCTTGGTTTGTTGGTCTTGGGTAAGAGACTTACTGAGAGATAAAGATAGACATACATCTAATTCACCCACCCTGAAGTGCACAATTCAGGAGTTTTTAGTATATTGTACAACCAGCCGCACAATCCATTTTTATTTTTTTATCGTCTAAAAGAACCCACCCTCCACCCAACTTCCCCCATTTGTGAATACTAGGCATTCCATTGACAGGGTCCCTTGGGATCTTCAGGAGACAGATACCAAAAATCCATGGATGCTTAAGTCTCCTGTATAAAATGCTATTGCATTTGTATGTAACCTATACATCCCGCCACACACCTTACATCACGTCTAGTTGACTCATCACACTGAACATAGTATAAATGCTACATAAGTACTTGTTATGCTGGACTGCTTAGAGGGTAATGCTAAGTAAATAAGGAAAACAAATCTGCACATGCTCTGTACAGATACTGCCATCCTAGGCCTGATGACATAGAACCCCTCCGGCGTGAGTGAATCCACAGATGCTGACACTGCAGACACAGGAAGGGCTGACTGTAAATGGAATTAAACAATGTGTGGTCTTTGTGTCTGGCTTCTTTCAGTCAGCATGATGTTTCCAAGATTCATCTATATTATAATGTGTTAGCATCAGTACTTTCTTCCTTCTTATTGCTGGGTAATATTCCATTGTAGGGACATACACTTTTCTACTCACCAGTTGGTGGACATTGGGTTTTCCTGAAGGCTTAAGGCAAAAACAGGGTCATTTCTTTTTCTCCCCCAAATCTCCTTCCTTTTCCATCAGACTCAAAAAGCTGCTTTGATTATCTGGAAGCAACACTCCTCTGGAGGCTATAAGGTTAGAGAACCAGGTAACCAAGAGCAACCCTATTTGTTTAAAACCTAAGGAATATCTAACCATAGTCCCCAGCTCTTCATCTGCTTTGCCCTAGCACTGAGACCCCAATATGTGGCGCTGACCCTTGCACATAGCAGGCACTCAATAAAAAAGGCATTCTGTACTGTCTGTGCTGAACCATCTGTTCACTGGGCGGAGGGGTCTGTAACCATTGCATCCAACTAATGAGAGGCTATCCTTGCCTTGCAGTTATCAAGAGCCCCCCTGGTTGGGAGGTGGGTGTCTATGCTGCAGGGGCCCTGGCACTACTGGGAATCGCAGCTGTGAGCCTATGGAAGCTCTGGACATCAGGAAGCTTCCCCAGCCCCTCCCCGTTCCCCAATTATGACTACAGGTACCTTCAGCAGAAGTACGGGGAGATCTACACGGAGGCCAGGCCGGAGGTGAGGTTCCTATCCTTCAGGTGCATGCACAGGAGTGCCCAGCTCACCCCTCCCCACTCTGGCTCTATGCTAGTTAATGTCCTCCTGTGAATGGCCTCCTCATGCCCCTGTGGATCTTCTACTCCTAACCCAGGGCTAGAGAGTCAATAGATATTATTGAATGAATGAATTCTTAGTTTTGAAAACTATCCTGCAAGGCCTGGCCAGATAGCTCAGCGGATTAAAGCACCTGCTTAGGCAGATCCAGGGGCCAGGGTGCGATCCCCAGCATGCTGTTAAGCCCCCTTCCCGCCACCCCAGGGCACACTGAGACTGGGACTGAGACTGGGCATGGTGCCGAATGCCTGTAAGTCCAGTGCTTGGGAGGCTGAAAACAGAAGGATGACTATGAGTTCAATCTGTGTAGTGAGACCCTGTAGACCCTGTACTAAATACATTAAAGAAAAAAAATAATTATCCTGCAAGCAAACAAACAAAAATGTAAGAGGGAAACCATCTTCCCAAATATTGCTACTACCCAACTACGAATTTCTTTCTTCCTTCTTTCCTTTTTCATTTCTTTCTTTTTTTTTTTTTTTTTTCCTTTTCTTCTACAATACTAGAAACTTTACCCAGAGGCACACTACCACTGAGCTACATCCCTAACTTCAACCCCCTTTTTCTTTTGAGACTGTGGCTCACTAAGTTGCCCAAGCTGGACTTGGGGATTTCCTGCCTCAGCATCCTACCTACTGAAATCATAGTTGTGAGCTACCAAACTCAGCTTTTAGCTGACTTTTTGATACATTTCTTTTCAGGGTTGTTTGTTTGAGATAGGGGCTGGCTATGCAGTTCAGACTGGCCTTGAGCTCACTTTGTAACCCAGATTGGTCTCAAACTCACAAAGATCCTCCTGCCTCCGCCTCCTGAGTGCTGAGATTACAGGGGTGCACCACCATACCCAGCCTTTTTTCAGGTTTTTTGTTGTTGTTGTTGTTGTTTTTTGTTTTTGTTTTTGTTTTTGCAGAACTGGGGATTGAACTCAGGCCCTTGTGCTTGCCAGGGAAGAACTTATTCCACTGATCCATCTCCCTGGCCCCTTTTTTCAGTATTTTTAATCTCCCCTTTTCCTTTGTTTTCTATGTATACTTTTTATACATTGGTAACACATCTCCATGGGATTTTATTCCCTATTCTTTTTACTTTACTTGCATCTGAAGTTTTTTTCTCTATGGTTAGCAACTGACATAAGCACCATTTTAATGGCTGTATAAGATTCCTTTTTGTGCATGTCCCATGATTTACTAAATCTGAATAGTGCAATGGATGATTTGCATTTAAAACCTTGTCTTCATTTGGGATAATGTACTTTGGGTAGGTGCCCAGAGGTAGAATTACTGTATCTCGGGGTACAAATTTTTAGGGGTATCAGTAGGTACTGCAGGATATCTCCTCATTTGCAAAGAACGTTTCAAACATACAGAATTCCAGAGAGTACAGCATGCATATGGCACAAAGTTGTTACTCCCTCAAGCTCACTCACTTGGGGGGATATAGATTAGAACAACTTTTTCAAACAGCATTTTGACAACACATGCAAAAGCTCTCCAAATGACTGTCCTCTGAGCCAAGAATTTTAAGAAATCTATTTAATGCTGTATTAGTTATACTTGTTGAAAAAATTAGAAACAGCACAACTGTCCAACCATGAGAAATAGTAAAATAAATTACTGTTACTTGCTCAATGGAAAATTGGGGGCCATTAAAAATAATGCTAAGAAAACATTTAAAAAATTAATGCTAAGGAAGATATGGGAGATGCTTATGATAAAGGCTTTTGCTTTCCTAAATCCCAAGATTAAGTTAGAAAAAGTTCAAATATTTGGATAATTCCCAATATGAAAACTTTTTTTTTTTTTTTTTTTCCTGAGATAGGACTTCACTATGCAGTTCAAGTAGGCCTTAAATTCATTTTGTATCCCAGGCTGGTCTTAAACTCAAAGCAATTCTCCTGCCTCCCAAGTGCTGAGATTATAGATGTGTGCCACCATGCCCAGCCGAAGCTTTCTTGTGTTGTTAACATTTTTGTAATTTTCCTTTCAGGCTATTCAGCCATCTACTAAGTGGCTACGCCCTAATAGTGTAACCCATTCCCCCTCTGCTAGACACTTAGATTGCTAATTGATTTTCCTTTTTATCTTCACTGCAGCCAGAAGTGATGTCACGTGCCTGTAATCCCAGCACTGAGGAGAGAGGCAGGTAGACTGCTGAACTTCAAGGCCAGCCTGGGCTACATAGTGAGTTCAAGGCCAGCCTGAACTACACAGTGACACCTTGTTTCAAAACACAAAGTTATGAACATCACTGCACTTGACATCTTTATGGATGGAATTCTGTCCTAACACATAGACATGTTTTTTTAAAAAACTAATTATATTCTGTTTAAGAGAGAATATGAAGCACGTCCCTGGCAAGCACAAGGGACTGAGTTCAATCCCTGGTTCCCGCAAAAAAAAAAAAAAAAAAAAAAAGAGAGAGAATATAAAAAAAGAGAAAATGAATAACATAGTTGTTAGTGCCACAAAATGACATTAAATAAGGACCTTCCTAGCAAAGTGGTACACTGGTGTTTTAAAAGGGGATCTTGGAAGTGCCTTGAATAAGCACAGCTTATGGTATCTCTTTACTGGCTCCTAAAAATGGCAGTACACACCGATAGTCCCAGAATTCCTGGAGCCTTGGGCAGGAGGATCACAAGTTAACACCCTGGGCAACTTTGTGAGACTATGTCTTAAAACAAAAATAAAATTTTAAAAAAGGACCAGAGACATAGCTTAGTGCAAAGGCCCTGGTTTCAGACCCCAGTACCTCAAAACTAAAACACAGTGCCTGTAGCCCTTCTGATGTTTTCATGTCTCTTTTGCTCACTCCCAGAGAGCTCCTGCCTGGAATGCCCCACGGGCCAGTGCTCGGGGGCCACCCAGTCGCAAAGGTAGCCTCAGCATCGAGGACACCTTTGAAAGCATCAGTGAGCTGGGACCACTGGAGCTGATGGGCCGGGAGCTGGACCTGGCCCCCTATGGACCCCTCCGCAAGTCCCAGTCTGCAGACTCCCTAAACTCCATCTCCTCTGTGAGCAACACCTTTGGGCAGGACTTCACACTGGGCCAGGTGGAGGTGAGCATGGAGTATGACGCAGCCTCCCACACCCTGCACGTGGCCGTGCTGCAGGGCAAGGACCTCATGGAGCATGAGGAGGCCAGCTTCGAGTCCTGCTTCATGCGTGTCAGCCTGCTGCCCGATGAGCAGATCGTGGGCATTTCCCGGGTAAGTATCCCTGTGGTAAGCAGAGGGCTGCCCTCTAGGGCCAGTCAGTCGTGGTCCTCCAGGGGTGCTAGAGAACAGCCCTGGCTGCAGACCCAGAGCAGAAGATGCCCAATCTTCTGCCCTCCTGTCATGAGAGTACAGTGTGCTGCCATAGCTGTTCATCTCCACATCTGTTCCTGTGTTTACATGGGGTCCTGGCAGGAAGATGACCTGGGGCAAGTTTAATGACAGGGCTGCTGACCACAGTATGGGTAAGGGGGAGGGTGGTACTCTGGGCCTATTAGTGGGAAGTCTGAAGGAACGAGGGGAAAGTGAGGCTCTGGGCTCAAAAGGACAGGACCCCCTTGATGGGATCCTTTAGTCAAGGGATTGGGTCAGTCCCTAGCCATTATAGCAGAGAAGGACCTTAGTTTCCTCTTGTGACCTGGTACCCAACCTCACTGGAAGGCAGAGGTCAAAGGGCAGGCAGACACAGGAGGTCTGTGTAAACCAGCCCCTGGGGCTCACAGAAGAGTAAAGAAGGCAACAGCAGAGGCATGGTATGGTGGCACACACCTGTAATCCCAGCACTTCAGGAAGCTAAGGCAGGATGCTGAGGCAAATTCCATCCCAGCCTGAGCAATTTCATGACTTAGCAAGGCCCTGTCTCAATAAAAAAGGTTGAGGATGTAGCTCAGTGTGAAGATCTGAGTTCAGGAGGAGGAAAGGGGCCAGAATCCTTGGTCCTTGATAGAGGAAACTAGCTTATCATGGGCCATACCTTCCCACCCAGCAGCAAGCAGCTCCAGGGTAGCAGGTTCCTGATGCCTCAGCTGGGAGCCCTCACATGGGCAAGGTGGCCAGCCAGTGGCTCTGACCAGAGTGGGAGAAGCCTGAGGACCTGAAGCATCAAGCATCTTCTGACTCTTCCAGAGATGTGTGCCCACCTGTGCCTGGTCACTTTTACCACGCTTAACACTGGCTGGCCAGCCCTGTCATTGTACTCTACCCACTCTGCCTTTGTCACTTTAGAAGGTCTAGAACTTGCTGCCAGCAGAGGGCACAAGGGATATGGGTAGCTGTTCTTCCAGAGGCAGTACAGGGGGAGGTGAGGAGTTACATTGGAGTCAGACTTCTGGGTCCAAATCTCAGTTCCACCACTTCTAGTTTTGTGACCTTGCATAAGTCACTTAAGCACTCAGTGATCTGTCAAATGCAAGTGTGTATCATCATTATTGAAGAAGGGATGGATTATTTAGGTCAAGTCCTCAGCCCGCTCTCCAGTAAGCATTCCATGTGGATCTTGGGAGACTGAAAAGCTGCTGTCAAGGCGGATCCATGCTGCTATGGCTGGGGCCACTCTAAGGATTCTGGGTATTTACAACATGTCTCTTTAGGAGCAACATTGGCAGCGAACAGGCACCACTGCCTGATGTACACATAGCTGACCACTTGCCCCTCAGAGCCCATTGTATTCACGATCTCACATTAGTCTTCTGAGGTCAACAGGATGGACTGTTGAGGAAGCTTATCCATGAGAAACTGAAGCTTAGAGAACACTTTGCCCAAGACAGCCCCATCAAGTGAGTGGGAGATCAGGGACTCCTTTACCCACATACCCATGAAGCACAATGCTCAGATAGCAGGTGGCTGGGGACCTGAGACCCTGTGGGCAGGGAACAGCCAGGACACTAGTTTGGCCAGGATAGAGATAGGGCCAGAGATCGTGCTGAGTGACTGTCAAGGTCAGGAGGCCAGGGAGTAGGCTTTTGTCCATGGGGCCAAAGAGGAATCTCAGTCAGGGGACCATGTGAGCACTGTGGCATCCAAGGGCCCCTGTAGGAGGAACCTTACCAGAGCCAGGCAGTGACAGAAGAGTATGGCCAGGGTAGCAGGAGGAGGTAGAGGATTTGTCCCCAGGAAGGCAGGCTTCACAGCAGCACAACCCAGCCAATCCCACCAAGTGGGCAGCTACTGCATGCAGGGCAGCCCCCCTGCTTCAGAGAAGGTGCCAGGGATGAGAACTCCTCTCTTTAAATATCACGGGCAGTGACTAAGGCAGCCCCACAGTGCTTGCAAGTGTGCCTCACCAGAGGAACCTGCCCACAGCTTCCTGGGAGGAGGCCAGCAGCACCCACTATGCAGAACTGAACTTGGAAACAGGGCCTACCCCACCTGGTCACTCCATCCACCTGTCTGCCCCTGCATCCACCTATCCATCCTAGAATGTTAACATAGGCCTACCAAGGGCTGGTGACTCCCCAGCACTGTATGCCTGATCTAGGCAGGACCACAGTAGATGCAAGAGACAGAGATCTCCTCCACCAGAGTGTTGTAAGGACTCTGTGTGTGTGTGTGTGTGGCCAGCTCAGCCCACCAGGGGGCGGGGCAGGCTGGCATGTGGTGCTGGGGATTGAACCGCGGTCCCTGTGCTTTTAGTTTGTTCTAAGTAGGTGCTTTAGACCACTGAGCCATCTCACCAGCCCATGGACATGGGATTTTTAAACCTTTAAGACCAGTCCACTAAAGGAAGGCTTGGCATTGATACTATGGGGACAAGATAGCCAGGAGTCTGTCTCAGGTCTCTGGACCTGTCCAGTGCTCTTTGTCTACTGCAGCCTCCAGACCCCTGGCACCTACCTCTTCCTCGGCTTTAGTGTGCCTGCCATGGCTCTTTCTGCTGCAGATCCAGAGGAATGCCTACTCTATCTTCTTTGATGAGAAGTTCTCCATCCCCCTGGACCCCACAGCCCTGGAGGAGAAGAGCCTGCGGTTCTCTGTGTTTGGCATCGACGAGGATGAGCGAAATGTCAGCACGGGGGTGGTAGAACTAAAGCTGTCTGTGCTTGACCTCCCGCTGCAGCCCTTTAGCGGCTGGCTCTACTTACAAGATCAGAACAAAGTAAGTCTGACCTGCTTGACCTGCGTGGCCACCTCTAGACAGAGTACACACACATACACTTCTAACTATGGGTTCCACTGTTCTTTCTGCCACAGCCTGACATCATTAGTAGAGCAGAGAAGACCTGAGCCACATTTGAGGAAACTACTTACTCTTTACTATATTCAGTGACAATAAGAACAACACAAAAATCCTGACCATTGTATATGGGCTTTTCCACCACTGAACTTGCTGAGGCTACTTTTATGAGCTCTGTTAGGGATACACAGCTCTAGCTCCAAAGCAGGCAAGCTTCAGCTTGTCTTTATAAGTGGAAGGATGCCAGAGGTACATGAATTGTCATTTAAGCAAATGATGTAACTCCATTCTACTTGGATCTCTATGTACCACTATCATAGAAAGTTTTCCTCAGCCTGGAAGGAGAGAACAAAACTGCATTTGATTGATGTACTTGACAGGCAACCTCTGGACCTTCTGAGGCAGGGGTCATACCTGGCATGAAGGAGGGTTGGTACATACTTCATAGTGTGGCAGGGGCATGTGATCCTTTTCTCTACCCCACCAGTTCAGTGCCCCAGGTCCCAGGTACAAAAGCCTCTGAGCCACACCTGTCCCCCACCCCTACCTCAGGCTGCTGATGCGGTGGGGGAGATCCTGCTGTCCCTCAGCTACCTGCCCACAGCTGAGCGTCTTACAGTGGTTGTGGTGAAGGCCAAGAATCTCATCTGGACCAATGACAAGACCACAGCAGGTAATGCCCTGTTGGATGCTTGGCTCTACCATGTGGTCCAACCACATATCATGGGCATTTGGCCACTTCAGCATGTGTGTGGCACAAAGCCAGGGCCCCCACAGCTTTAGTTTAGTTCAGGATCCAGGCATGGGTGGTAGGAAGATTAATCCAGCTGGAGAAACATGGAAACCCTGGAGGGTGCCAGGGGCCCCCCATGAGGGCAGAGAACCCTCAGTCCCTACCAAAGCAGGGACCCACAAAGGCAGCTGTAATGGATCGCCACAGACAGAGGCCTGGGGGATCCCAACCATGGGGAGTTACAGCCTGAGGTGGGGGCAGCTCAGGTTCAGGCATGTGTAGCAAGAACACCCAGCGAGCTATAGCTGAGGGCCAGACGGGGACTTGGTATTTCAGAGCTGTACAGCATTAGGCCCTACTGAGGTGGTACTGGCTGACTCACAGCTGACGTCTGTGCCCAGCCATTTATAGAACAGGAAGTGATGGGTCTGCCAAGCTCTGTGGAGCATCGTGTGAGGGGAATGTGTGGGCTGTGAGGCAGGCTGCCAGTCCAGAGTCCAGCCCTTGCCTGACTTGCCATACCATACAAGCTTCAGTTTTTTCATCTGTAAAATGGGATTTAAAATACAGATCTGGGGACCATAGTGCTCACCTGTGGGCCCAGCTACTCAAGAGGCTGAAGCATGAGGGTTCTTTGAGCCCAGGAATTTAGGAACAGCCCAGGGGCCTAGCAAGATTCCATCTCTCTCAACAAACTAAGAACATCATGAAGTCCCAGTGGCAAAGCTACTGACGATAGTGGCAATAGTGAATGAAGGGTTGGAGGGTTGGAGAGTTGGAGCCATGGGGCTGAGCCTGAGTAGCCAGGGCTTTGTTAACCAAGTATGGTACTGGCTTTCACCCCACCCTGCCCATACGCAGATCCTTTCGTCAAGGTGTACCTGCTGCAGGATGGGAGAAAAATGAGCAAAAAGAAGACAGCGGTGAAGAGAGATGACCCCAACCCAGTGTTCAACGAAGCCATGATCTTCTCAGTACCAGCCATTGTGCTCCAGGTGAGGGAAAGTGGGTGGCCCTGGGCCGCTGCACCTCTGGCTTCACTCCTTGTCATCTATCACCTTTCTAGTTGAAAAGCATTTAACAAGTGCCTGCTGGGTTCCAGCCTTGGGGTAGATGTTAGGGACACTAGCACTTCTTTCTTGGTGCCTATGAAGGACAGGGAGAAAAGTCCCCAGACAATGTTAATCTTTTAAGAACATCCCAGACCTTAGCAGGTAGGAGCTTCTTGTAGGATGGGACAGCTCAGCTAAACTCTGAGTGAGTACAGGGACCTACTGGGCCTGGATATGAGCCAAGGGTTAAATCCAGGGCCCAGAACTCTAGCCCTTAATTTCCTGAGCTCCTACAGTAGCAACCTGCTCAGTTGCCCACACCTCACAGCTTCCAGAGGACTCTGCCCCAGAGAGACCCCTAGAAACATGACAGACCAAGGTGGGGGAACATAGAGGACACACTTCTGGCCACACAAATGGCCTCAGAAAATGGCCATCTGGCCACCTCCCCTCACCATCTCCTTCTACCCTTAGGCATTCTAGACAGTGAGCAATAGTGAATGAAGGGACTAGTGAGGAGATCCTTTCTGCCTTGGGTCAAAACATGCCTCCATAGCCCTGGAGCTGTACACAGTTTACCTAATCTCCCTTCCCTGGGTTCCCCCCTCAACCTATGAGAGCCCAGAACTCTGCCTCACACTGGGTGTCCCTAATCCAGGCAATGTCTTAGCCTCTCCACCAATCCTGGGCATTGTAGCCTTGCCCTGGCATCCTTGTGGGACAGGCTACCCATCTGACCTTTGCCCTCCCCTGGGCAGTCACAACCAGTACTTCAAATGAGATAAGGATTAGTGACAACCAAAGCATGGTGCCCTGACTGTGGGCAGACACACTCCACACTTAACTCACTGTACTCTTGAAACAGCCTTTTAAGGTAAGGACTACTGCCATTTTATGATGGGGACACAGGTAGCAAGAATCCAAGTTGCTGCCCAAGGCCACATAGCAAGGAGTGCTTAGGCTGCCATTTGAACCCTGCTGGTCTGGTGCTATCACTGTGTGGAAGTGAGGCAGATCTAGGCCAAATCCTTGTCTGCTGTGTATTTCCAGGTGACCTTGGGCAAGTTTTCTCATGTCTCAGATCAGGCAGCAGATTCAGGGAGCTTTGCCTGGCACCCCAGGGGCCAGGCATTTATAGACTGGGACCTAGGAGCCAAGGAGGACACCTGGCAGCTCTTGGCCCTCAGCACCCATGTTTGTTCTTTCTTTCCCAGGACCTGTCTCTCCGTGTGACAGTAGCTGAGAGCAGCAGTGATGGCCGTGGGGACAATGTGGGCCATGTCATCATTGGGCCATCAGCGAGTGGCATGGGTACCACACACTGGAATCAGATGCTGGCCACACTGCGCAGGCCCGTGTCTATGTGGCACCCTGTCCGGCGAAACTAGCAGCCAGAGCAGGCCAGGTGGGCAGCAGAGCCCCTGGGGCCTGGCACATACTCTCAACTTTGTTTGAAGCCTTCTTCATAGCCCAGTCAGAGCTGTGACCACTGGGGTCCCTAGGTGGAGTCCCCATCAGTTACCTTGGACCCTCTGTCCAGACTACAGTGGAGGAGCTGGTGGACCTCTACATCTAGGAAGCCAGGCTTTTCTCCCACTAGTTCTGGACTAGTTCTGGCTCTAGCTGGGCCAGGTCCCACAAAGGGCAGAGGATGCTGGCCAGTTGCATACCACTTGAGGTCCTCACATGGTTTTCCCCTTGACCTGCAGGGAGAGCAAGCTCCCCTACCCTACTCCTCCTGGGAGGCCAGCTGCCAGACTGGACCATGCACCAGAATAGATGATTCTTGGGGGCCAGCACTGTGCTAGGCACTGGCAGGTGTCTCATGAACAAAATGAAGACTCCTGCTTACTACAAAGTCAGGATCCCACTGCCCAGGAGATCTACTCAGTGCCAAAGGACAGTCCAGCCATGCAGACCCACAGTGGGCTCTGGGCAGGGCCCCATGGGCAGGAAGGATCTGTACTCTCCAGGGTGGAGGAAAAACTGGGTTCTAGGCAGGGGCGCAGCTCAAGGAGCAGCTAAAATGTGAACTTTTGAACTTTTTTGACATAAGAAGAAGTCTTCAGCTCACTTCAGAGGGGACAAGAGCATTTCCCTAGACTGGAGAAGAGAACAGAGTCAAGCAAAAGGCTGCAGGCCACACTGGGGCTCCAGGGCTACTATCTATGAAATATTTGCCTGGAACATCAACCATCATAAAAACCAGAAGCACAGAGGCAGAGAGCAAGGTCCTTGTGCAGGGTCTGTGCATAATCAGCCCTACTTCTACCAGCTGGCCAGGCTCTGCTGGAAAGAGATGCCTCGGGCAGGCCTGAATGCAACCCCCCAGAACACTGAGCATCTTGGGTCAAGATCCTGAAAACTGTGACTTCAGCAGATGTTCGGCCTCAGCCTGAAGGCAATGGGGAGCTCTGAAGGGGACAATGGCACCCCAAGGTCCTGCCAAGAAGCAAAGAGGCTGGGCTGGTACATCAATCTTTGACTTCTGCCCCTGCTCCAAGTGGGTGTCATATTCCTGCACATGTCACCAGATGAGGAGCAGCTGTCATCTACCAAAGACAGACCCAGAGAAGCAGCAGCTTCCCGCTCTTTTCTAAAGGGGAGTGGGCACCTTCAGGATAAAGGGATGGAGCAGGCAGGGATGGGCTATACAGCAGCAATGTCTGCTCTTCTGGGCCACTCACAGATAAGAGGGGGACTCTCAGGCTGGCTGTCCTATTCCTTAGCTCTAGTGAGCTATGGAGACCTAGATTCAACCAGCTGTCACCAATGACATGGAAAGAGATGGCTTGAACAGGTGTCCAAAGGATTGTAGGACTGGAGCAGGACCCTGTGACACAACCAGGAAGTCAGCATAGGACCATGCATGGCTAGTGAGCCCTTGAAGCCCGGGAGACCCCAGATCGACAGCCTCGCAGGGCAGACTGTGTCCTCCTACCTTCTCTTCCCTCCCTCCCTCCCTTTAACTGCATGAAATGGTGACCGCAGAGCTAGGGTGGCCATGGCGGGGACTGAGAATACTGACTGGAATGATTTTAGAACCAAATAAACCTGGGGCAGGAAGGGGGCTTCTAGGGAGCCCTGTTCAGTCCCAATCATCTTCATGTCTTCTCCAGAAACAGGGTCTCCGGCCCCATGTGGGTGATTGCATGTCCTTCTTCCCGGCTCTGAGTGTCCAGAGAGGCAGGCAGCACCTGCCTGACTGGAGGCTAGCACAATGACATGAGGCTTCCTGAGAAGTTCGGAGGGGACCCTGAGCCATCCATGACATAGGAGGATAATGATGAAACTATAGAAGGCTGTAGCTGGTAGCTCTTAGCTGATCCCTCAGGGCAAAACTAGACATGTCAAGTGGGTAAGGCAGGAAAAGATTCCTGGCAAAGGCAGGAATAACACACATCAAAGGGCAGGGGTGACCAAAATGTGGGCCAGTTATCCACCTTGCTAGAGCAGGGGGAGAGGAGAAAGGAGCCAGGGGACAGGTTCTGTAGAGAGAGGGGTCTTGCTTGTGGGGTGAGTGCTGGTGCCCAGCCCATTACCCTGCTTTAGAGCAGATAGGTGCTGCTGTCACATTCCTTCCCACAAATGTAGAAACAAGCTCAAGAGAAGTTAGGTGACTAGCCCAGGATCACACAGCCACAAGGTTCCAGAGTGGTGATTCATGTTCAGGCTGCCTATAAAGGCTGTGCTCTTGGCCATGGGACCATAAGATCCCTTGCCCCAACTCCTCAAAGGTAGGGCTGATGGGCTGGTGAGATGACTCAGTGGTCTAAAGCACCTACTTAGAACAAGCTTAGCAAAGCAAAGGGACCGTGGTTCAATCCCCCAGCACCACATGCTAGCCGGCCCCGCCCCCTGGTGGGCTGAGCTGGCCACACACACACACACACACACACACACACATAAATAAAAGGTAGGGCTGAGGGGCAGCAGAGAAACCCTTTGGAAGTCCAGCGGGTTCTGGCTTCTCCTTCCTTCTCCTCCTCTGGAAAATCAGACAAGGACAAAGATGGAGAGTTCCCAGGAGGCCTTCCCTACCATGGCCGACTATGAAGAGCTTTTAGGGACCCCCCCAACATGCCTAGGGGTACAGAGGGAATTGATTAGGTAGCAGTCATGAAGACCACAAGAATGGCCAAGACCAGAGGCTTCCTGGAGCAGGCAGAGACATTAGCAACAGCCTCACAGAGCCTGAGCAGAGGTCTCTCAGGTCTCTGGGAGACATGGCCAGATACAAGCGCAAGAAGTCAGAGAGAGGGGCCATGAGGGCTTCCAGCATCCCGGGTAAAACAGTAGTTTTAGTCCTGCCGAGAGCAGGGAGCCATAGAGGGGCTCTGGCTGGGGGCAGGTCCAAGGAGGGTAACGGTCACTCTAAGGAGCTTTAGAAGGAACAAAGAGGACCATCAGCAAGCAGTGCTCCCAGTCTGCAAGGGGCAGGCAACCTCTGAGCTGTCTTTAGGTTGGAGACCACTCAGCAAGATTCCCACAGAAGTGCCTCTGGGAAAGGAGCAGTGCTACCAAAGCTGGGGGAAACTCTCCCCATCTCCCTCCTAACTTTTCCCACCTATGTCCGTCCTCCTCTGGCCTCCAATCCTCTTCTCCTTTCCTCTCTGCTACTCCCCCATTCTAGAGCCTTGCTCAGAAAGACAATGTGTAAATCACCAACCCACCCAGTGACACTGCCTGAGCCAGGCCAGTGGGGAGTGGGGGGACAAGACGTGCCACTCTAGCGCTATAGCCATGCTTCTCCTATCCCCACCTGGTACCCTTATCTATTCCTGTAGACACCCAAGAGACAGATTAGTTAAAAGGCTAAGGAAGCACTGGGACCAGGCCACAGGGCTCCCCCTCTCTCTGCCCAACTCGTGGACCACCTGTCCCACCAGGAAGGCTGATGGCGGGAGCGCAACAGGTAGAGCTCCTGGAAGAAAAGGAGCTTGTGTGTCCTGCCTGACATAGACCTGGGTCTGGGGCTTACAATGCTGGGTAACCAGTTCCTTCCTCTCTCAGAGCCTCTTCAGTTTCCCCATCTGAAGAATAAGGGTGTTAGAAAAGATGGCCAACACAGGCTCCCACATGTTTGACTTTAGGGGAGTTTGCTCTAGAACTTCCTGGGTTCAAGGCCCAGTTCCTCCACTCATCAGCCATGGGATCTTGGACAAATTATGTGTCTTCTTTGGGCCTCTGTTTCTTCATTTGTCAAAAGAATCTGGTGTACACCTTGTGAGATGGAATGAATGACAGGCCACTTGCATTAAGGAGGTCAAGGCTTGGTGAACTATACACCAGAGCCCATGAAGCCTATGCTGGCACCCCAAGAGGCAGATCTCTGAGGTTCTGACTCCTTGTAATCCACTTTCTCCCTCATTCACCCTCCCACAGCCCTAACTGTAACCCTAACCCCACATCTCTAGCTAGGAATGTGAGGCAGAGCAGATAGCCTGGGTGACAACAATGCAGAGAGCACAGAGGCCACACAGGGGCAGCAGAGAATAAATGGGACAATCTGGAACTCCTGTCTTCAAGGGATGTGGGGGAGTAGGGGTCCTTGGAGCAGGTGGAGGCTGCAGAACAGGCCCTTGTCTATAGAACCACCCTCATCCTAATCATGGTTTATTCTCACACGCATTTGTTCCTTTGCCCACTTCTTGAATTTCTTTTCCCCCACGTCCTTTTTTGCGACAGTCTCACTATGTAGTTCAGGCTGGCCTTAAACTTAATTTGTAGCCCAGGCTGGCCTCAAACTTGCAGCGATCCCTCTGCCTCAGCCTCCAGAATGCTGGGATTTCGGGGTTGCACCACCATGCCCAGCCTACTTGAATTTCTTTTGAGCAAGTCCATCTTCCTTCCTTCCTCTTCTCTTCCCCACTTGTCCTTTTCCCTCCCTTCCCTTGTTTGTCTAACCACTCAGCTGGACATAATATCCTGAGCCATGAGAAATGTTATCTGTGGTCCTTGCCCTGACTGGGAATTAACATCCTGTCTGGTACCAGCACCCTAAGGAAGAGAACAGCCAAACTAAGGACTTGACCACCTCTGCTGTTCTGGCGTCTACAGGACAGTCACTCAATATAAGGACTCTGAACTTGGAATGGGGGTGAGGGGAGCTGAGAAGACTGAGTCACTCAGGGGCCGGAAGTCAGCAGCAGCCACAACAAACAGCAAAACAGCCTGTGGTACTCTGGCCAGGCAGTCTGTGATCTGAGCCACCTCCTCACTCCAAAATTAAATCCAGGAAAACAGTGTGGTCCAGGGCCCAGCAATGTCTGAGACTTGGGGAAATTCCCTGCCACTCAGGCCGATGGCTGTGACCCAGTGACTAATCTGCCTCCTCTGAAGCACGAGCAGCAGATGGCAGTAAGACTGGGATTCACTTCAAGGACCATATCCGGGGTCTGTGGCTGGCCAAGATAAGCAGCGCCTCTCTGAAGCTCAGCTCCCAAACCTGTAAGTGGGGGTGGGGATGGTCTGCTCACCTCACCATCTGAATGCTAACTGCTGTAACGTGTACAATGTGGTATTGGTGGAGAGTCCAGCTTTGTGGTACCATTGGGATCCAAATGCCAATTTGGCCTCTTATTAGCTATAAAGCTTAGAAAAGAACCTAATCTCTCTGAGCCCCAAGTTCCTCATCTGTAAAATGGGGCTAACAATACTGCCTCCTGGGGAACAGGGCCTGCACATAGTTTGCAATCCACTAATGGGTGTTGTTATTATTAGGACATGTTCAGAGAAACTGTAATTCGTGACAGCCGCCAAGTGTATCATTAGAGTGATTATCCCCATAGCAACCAGAGACAACTGCCTCTGCCTTGCTCTGAGCTCCCTCAGCCCTCATCTGGCCCCACCTTGCCTGACTACAGCCAGCGGGGAGGGGGGGGAGGGTTAACAAGGAGGCTGGCAGCTGACCTTAAGGGACAGGGCCCATTCCTCACCACTGCTTGGGGCGGGGAGCTCTGCTCAGGAGCTACTAACCCAGCCTGGTACCAGCTCACTCCCCAGCCCTAGAGCAGTTTCGAGGAAGAAAGGGTGGAGTCTTCCCAGGGAGGCTCCCTACCTCTAGATGAGGCCTGATCTAGCCTGCTGACCACAGCCCTGAAGGTGAGCCAGGTACAGAAACTGGATAGCTGGACACTATGGCTCCCTGCTCTGGAGACAGTGACTCCTGCCCAGATTGTCTCTTTGGGCCACAATGAAGTCCAAAGGGGCCCAAAACTGGTCATTGTGCCTCTAGGAAGCTGACGCAGGAGGATCACAAATTTGAGCCCAACATGGGCAACTTGGCAACTTAGCAACTTAGGTACACCCTGTTTGAAAATAAGAAGTGAAGAAAGGGTAGATAGGGATGTAACTCAGTACTGGTTCAATCCCTAGTATCAAGAAAAACAACACCAAAGGGAGCTGAAGGGGATTTTCAACTGCCTGGTATTGAATTCCATAGGGGATGATGTCATGACCAATGTTGGGGTTGAGAGTGAAACCCAAAGACTTCAGCACCCTGTTCTTTTAAGCTTTAGTGGAATTACCTGGTCCAAGCTGTAGGGCAGTGATAGAGAACATTCTAGACACAGTGCCAAACTGCAACACAAAACCCACTTATTTGTCACAAAGTGCCAACCCTACCATTAAACCTGAAATTCTAGTTCAAAAACAAAATTCACACATTAACATCTTTTGTCTTAAAAGAAAAACACAACACGTGTGCCACGGATTTGCCCCCATTGCTCTAGGGTGACACTGTGCTCACTTTTAGAAGATTTAAACTTTGGCCACTCAGGGAGAGAGAGGCAGGGTGACAGCAAGTTTTCAGTTTGATACTAGATTTATTCCTGGCAGCTGCAGTATCCCACTAAGCTTTGCTCTCTGCCTGCTCAAGAAAGGATGGAAGAAGGAATCTGCTCACTCAGGCCCCCATAGGTTTGCAATACGATTCCCTCTTTTGGAATATCCTTTTCCCTCCCTTATCTGGGGTCTGTTTTCCCCCAAGACTAGGCTCCCCACTTCAAAGGGTTTTCTGACTCCCCAACCCTTCCCCAGGTTGAAGAGCCCTTCTCCCTACTCTTGTCCCACTGACAGTTCTTATACCTACATACCTGAGCACTCTGGTGTCCTGCCTGGCTCTCACACTAGGCTATGAGCTCCCCAAGGCACGGACTTTGTCTTGAATGATCCAGGGTCAGCCCTTGGAAACTGGAAGATCATCTCTGTTGATTAAATTCAAACAGTAACCCATGGCCCCAACCACATGCTGGGGCCTGCCCTAAGCACTTCATAAATGGAAGCTTCCATCAGTACACTTAGGTCACACACCTAAGCAATGGTGGCACAGGTGGTCACCCACCTGCAGCCAAGCTTCCTGGTGCTGGTAGAGGAGGGCAGGGCGAGCCTGGCAGTGCCAAACCACTGACCCACAAGAGCATAGCCAGCTGTCCCCACCCAGGTGGCTTGAAACACCTGGGCCCCCAGGAAATGCACAATCATTCATTTAGCAAAGGTCACCACCATTTGTGTCACCTCTTTCCTCCCAGAGAAAGTGGACCAGGTGTCTCCTCTTCCGTCTGCCCCCACTCCATGATCACTTCAGCTACAAGCCCATACTGCTTAGCTCAGGACATCAGGCCTTAGATTAGGTCCCTCCTGTCCCTCAGCACCCGCCGCACACAGTAAGTGCTCAACCAGTGTTCCCCGAGTGGCTGAACGGGACGCGAGGGAACGCGCCTGCCCCAGCCCTGCATGCCTTTCCACCCGCCAGACGCCCTCGTTGGTAGTAAGGCCTCTCACCTGGGCTGGGGACCGCGCCACCCACGGGGGACCGCCGCCTGCCCGGCTCGCACTTCCTCCCGCCGCCCCGCCCCTTCCACATTCCTGCCCCGCCGGGCCTGCCCCGCGCCCGTCCGGCCCTGCGCGCAGCCCGCCGCGTTCCGCTGCTCGGGGCCCTCTCTCTGTCCGCCCGGGATGAAGGCGGCCCAAGCCGCAGGCGAGGAGGCGCCGGCCAGCGTGCCATCTATCAAGGTCGTCCTAGTGGGCGACGGCGGCTGCGGGAAGACGTCGCTGCTGATGGTCTTCACCAACGGGGACTTCCCCGAGGTGAGTGCCTGCTGCTGAGCCCCGGGCCCAGGCCGGGCTCCTGTCCTGCCCGCACAACACTGCCACCGGGAAGGCAATCTGGGGGAGGGGGGTCTCCCTGGAGGGCCTAGTGCTAAGGGCAGAGTCCCTCCCACTCTGCCATTGGGAGGGAAGGCCCTAGTGATCCTATCTGTAAACTGGGACGAATGGCACCTTCCCTGGGATGGGTGTCCCAGGGACTGGATACACAACAGGGCCAGAGGGAACACTTGGCACAGCTTGGCTATAAGAATGATGACTCTGGAGCCAGACTAGCTAGTTCCAAATCATGTCTTTGCTACTTACAGCTGGGCAAATCCTTTACCTTCTTCTGTGTCCTTTCCTTAACTGATTAATGGGAATAATGCTAGCACCTACTTAAGTTAATAGGGTAGGAAGTTAATAAAGGTCAAGTGCTCAGATCCAAGCCTGCCTACAGGAAAGACTCGGGGAGAAGTGGTAAATGTCCCGCTTGGGATGTCTCTTCTCTAGTCTTTGCCACCACAGTGCATAAGCCCAAGACTCCACCTTAGAGAGGAAGAGCCTGCCAGTTCTGGAGATGGACAGTTGGGTTGGCACTTCAGTTTCTGTACTGAACCCAGTGCCCCTTAGTGATTCATATAGCACCTCTGAGCCTCAGTTTCTTGGCTATAGCACCATGGGGTAGAGGTAATGGACAGCTCCAATGAGCACCTGATGCATCATGGGTGCTCCGGGCATGTCAAAGGTCAGTCCTTCCCCATCATGCTCAACCACTGTCCAGGGGGACTCAGCAGTCACCAAATCCCTGGTCAGGGGCAGGGGCTGGACCCTACCTGCTCTGCCTCTTTGAGGCTCAACAAGGAGTAGGTGCCCACCGTGAGTTTGCATTTTCTTTTCCTCCTTTTCTGTCCCACTGTCCTCATACCCCTGAAGTGGTACAGGCGCTGGGGTCTGATGAAAGGCAGAAGAGGCCAGGCCTACACACAGCATTGGGCCTGCTTTCCACTGTGGCAGCAGGGAGCTACTTTTGTGGTTTATAGGGCTGACATCACCTCCTTTAGCCAGTTACATGGATTTTTAAGTTGAGGGAGTGTGTTTCCAGGCCCCTAGATACTGCCTATGGGAACCCAATCATTATGGCACTCTGGCCAACCATTATGGTACAGTTAGGAGGATCTGGGGGAGGGTACCTGAAACACTAGGGCTGGGAGGGGCCGCATCTCACCAACATCCCGAATCAGATCCACTTGATGGTCACATTGTTGGTGGAGACAGCCATCCCGATTGCATAGTGGCTACCACATAGAAATGGGCACCTTGCGACCCATGAACTATGAATGTCTCACAGCAGATGCAGGGATAGCCAGGGGAGTAGAGGGTCTGCTTGTCACTGTGGAGATGGACACTCTTTGTTAGGTTCTCCCCTCTGAGAACCTTGGGTCACCTGGCACAAAGAGATGCCTCTTCTCTTAATGCACTATAAAATTCAAAAGCTGGACAGGCTTCATCCTACAAGTGAGAACACTGAGACCAGAGAGGCAGAGTCTTTCCTGGTGGCCCACAGCCCTAATGTGGCTTTCCCAGTCCTGGCCACAGTCCCCAACACTATGCATGTTGCTTTTCCTCCAGGCTCAGGCCTTGGGTCTCCCAGGCTTCCTGCCTGTAGCAGAGATCAGAGAGCAAGCTACAGCCCAACCTCAGGTTCAAGGAGGAGGAAGTGGGATGGAGAGAGGCCAAGGAATGACCCCAGGGTGGCTTAACAGCCCCCTACCTGGTCCTGACTGGCATTTAGAAACATAACCACTCCCTTGGAGCCAAAGCCCAGTGGCCTTTACCAGGTGGAGAAGGAGGCTGCCGGAAGCACCTGGCCCTGCCTGCTGAACAAGCTGTGCCCTCCCTGTCTCCACTAAGTATCCTCCCTGGAAAACCCAAGCACACTTTCCTGAACTGTGTCCCCATCCCTGCTGTCTGGCAGCCCCATGAGGGCAGGCCTGGGGCTGAGTCACCTATAACCAGCTCAGCACCAGCTCAGCAGATAAGATTAGGCACTTACTGATCCCTGAGCAGAGGATGGTCCTCCTGGGGGTTCAAAGAGCACAACAAAGGATGTAGCCAGTCTCCAGGATCACATTCCAGAGCAAGGGAAGGGCAGCGACAGTTATGAATCAAAGGGGCAACACAGACCCTTCCCTGCCCTCAGAAGTTAGAGACCTCAGGAAACTGCAAGTGGTTAGGGCCAGAGCCTGGCCTCAGGAGCCAGATAGCTAGTGTATCACCTCAGGCAAATCACTTCTTTCTACCTTCTTTCCCCTGAGAAAGTGAGGACAGTGCTGAGTTTCCAAGTTTGCAAAAATCAGAGATGGTACCACAAAGGGCCATGGAGAGTGGTGGGTGATGGGGTGGTTGCTGTGGGCATTTGCAAAGCACTGGCATGAGTCTCCCAGAGCTTTATGCCAGGCTTCCCTGCAACACCATTGGGAGATCCCACAACTGGTACCTGGGTGGCCATGCTGGGAGCCCAGAGGCAGGCACCCATGCATCCTCAATGACAGGCTGATGGCAGACCCCTGCTCAGGCCAGGTCAGGCTGAGGCAGGATTGGGAAAGATGATGGCATCACATGGAAAGACAGGGGCACTGGTGGGGACGCTGTCCCTGACATCCTGCTGAATAGTGAGCATTTATGCTGGGGCCTCACCTACCAGTCCATCCTCCTTCTCACACTATGACAGCCCAGTGACAGGACTGATTAAGACCACACAGCTGGTGGACCCCAGAATTGCATCCTAGGCCAAGCCCATCTGATCCCAAGCCAGTGCTCCTATCTGCCTCCACACTGTCCCCAAGAGGCAAAGGGCCTGAGAGGAAGGGCAAAGCTCAGAAATGGGGACCATTTCTTCCAGTTCTGCCAACCACAAGATGGCAGCTCCAGTACTTCGCTATAGGGCCTACCCTTCCCACACCAACTACAGCCTTCCAGGGCCTCACTCAGAGGGCCACAAAGTCCTCCTGAGCCACAGGCAGGTGGATCCCACCTGGCTTGGGGAAGTGGATGAAGCCGCCCCCACTGTGGCCCCTTCCATTAATCCTGATGGGTGCCTGTGGTCTCAAAATGCAGGATGTCCAGCACACCTCTTAGGGCATAAAGCTCGCTTCACAGCAATGTAGAAGCCCTCCCTGCTGTTGCCCAGGAACCAATTCGGAAAACCTCCCTCATCATCCTTGCATTTTCATCTGTGTACAAAATCTGTCCATTTCCTATTCACTCAACTTTTGTGGAAAGGGAACAACAGAAGCCAGGCAGGGCTGGATTAGAGGGGCCTTTGTCTGCTCCTGAGAAGCAGGAGTGTGGGATATTGGAGAAGCAGACCAGAAAGGCAGTTTCGGGAAGGTGGTGTTGGACTAATGTGTTGTTTGATTTTTAAGAAATTGAGAGGTACTTGGCATGGTGGTGCACACCTATAATCCCAGCACTGGGGAGGCTGAGGCAGGAGAATCACTGTGAGTTTGAGGCTGGCCTGGGCTACATAGTGAATTCAGGCCAGTCTGAACTATAATGAGATCCTGTCTCAAAACAAACAAACAAACAAACAAACAAACAAGTAAAATGTTGAGAGGCAAAAGAGGGGCCCCCAAAAGCTGAGTGTCCCCAAGGCAGTGGCTCATTGTAGTCATTGAATGCCCCTCAGCGGAGCCTAGAAAAGGTGCTTTTGTTTGCTGAATGGATATGGGAGGAGAGGAAACAAAGGAACAACTGAAGGCTCAGAAATGGGAGTCCCCAGGTCAACAATTTCTGACACTGCCAGTCAAGCGGAATCCCCAATACTATTATGGGCTGCTGGACTCTTTTAGA